TTCTTGCTGAAGGCGGATGCAGCCAGAGACCTGTTCCGTCAGTTTCTGAAACTCAGATGCTTGAAGTTACATAGCTGAAATTTGTTTGCTTCCTGTTCAGATTACTAGCTGATAATGCTGGAAGAATACAATGTGCACAAATTTGTTTGGGAAAGGAGGAAGCAGGATCCATCTAACCCGGCACCTTTCAAATGTGTTTATTCCTGCAGTTGGGATGATAAGAACTGAAATCATATGTAAGGGCTGGGGAGATGGAAACCTAAATTTCTCTTTCCTCTTAATCTTTTGAAATAAGTTCTTTTCAGGATTCTAGACTAAGATGTCAATCCATGAGAGGAATTTGGTCTTTTATATATTTAAAATAAGTATACAAGATTCCTGCAAACAATATACTCTAGGTCCCCAAGCCAAACAATGAAATAATAGTGCAAAATTCTTAGAACCTAACATGGAAACCAACATACACCCAAACATTTTTGTGGAGAAATAAATATGTTTCTGGCTGATGAACAAAAATAGTATAAAATATGAGGACAATTCCAGATGTACTCAAAGAAAGAGCTCTTTGGATACATTGTCTTAAATATAGTGTGAATAAGAACAAAGGATCAGTATCCTAAAACTTATCTCTCTTGACCTTTTTATTTATGGGCAGTACAAGAAAAATTAACGACATACCTGGACTGGAGAACAATAAAAGAAGCAAAAGAAGCAAAAGCATGTGAACAATTATCAATATTAAATTCATGAGTTGAAAGAAAGGAAGTGAGAAAACAATACATAGATACCATTTTGAAACAATATGGGGCATCCTGCTAGCTTGTTATGAAAAGTAAGTATAGATTTTGTGACTAGTATGTTTATTATTACAGTGGCCTTCCTTCTTTTAAAGTAAAAAAGCAGTAATATAAATCAACATGGTATAAATATGAAGTTTATTGGTATCTATTTTCAGTACCAATCTGACAATAAGGTGTTATTAAAGGATGGCATGATGAAATAGGCTCTTCCCAATACCAGTCACTTCTATTTCGCAGAAGGAATGCATTTCTAAGATGGAGAAAGATCACAGGCATGGGTAGGAATTCCCATCTATTGCCTGTCCCTCAACCCAATGAGCAAACAATGCCAAATTTCAACATGGAAGTTTTGTGATTTGAGGTTTGGGGCAAATGAGCTGAATGAAAAATGGGTTTAACTCAAGGGTCTCCAATCCCCAGGCTGTGTCCCACTACTGAGCCATAGCCTGTTTGAAATTTGCATGAATGGAGCTTTGCATGCGAGCACAAGTGCCTCCACTCAAGCATCTTCTGCTTATGCGAGTGGACCTTTGCACGTGAGTGCAAGCACCCTCTGCTCATGCACAAAGCTCTATTTGTGTAAGTGGAGGGCACGCATGCATGCCACTCACAGAAATGGATCTGCACCTGCCACTCACACAACCCTCCTGAGCCAGGCTGGGCCACCAGGCTGGAAATGTTGGGAACCTCTGATTTAACTATTCAAGGGCAATGCTAGAGGAGAAACAAAGAGGCACAATGCTACAGTATGGAATTCCCTATAGAATTCTTCTGCAAAAATTCTTGCCCTTTATTCTGTTTTTGGTACACAATATCCTGCATGTTGATTCAAATGGTACCGAATAACAATAGCAGACTTACATATTGCTTTACAGTGTTTTACAGTCTTCTGTAAGCAGTTTACAATGTCAGCATATTGCCTCAACAATCTGGGTCCTCATTTTATCAACCTCAGAAGGATGAAAGGCTGAATTGAACTCCTGCTTGTGGGCAGAATTTATCTGCAATACTGCATTCTGTCATGGCTCTTTGCGTGGATGGAAAATCCCTTAGAAATATATTTAGAGCTGTACCCTTTCCTAATATTTGTACCTATGTGCTATTGTCCTTGCAAATTGAAAACAATATTTTTAGGTTTTATGAGCTAATACTTATGATTACATTATAGGATTGTTGCAAAGTTCTTTCTATAGCTCTCCTATGTCTTTTTGCAATTCTTTTTCTACTTGTGCCTAATCAGTGCAAGGTTTTGCTTTGGTGCAAGTGTACTAGAGTTGCAGCAACTCCATCACTGCATTATTACAATCTGAGATCTGGGAGAAAAGTTTTTTTTTCCCCCCCAGAAACTTTCTCTCTTCATCCTCACAAGCAATCTTTACTTAATTATAACAGCTCTTCACATTAATTGGTTCAAATGTATTTCCACCATTCCTGCTGCTATGGCAACATATACACATAGATTGTGATATTGTAGTATGATTGTGGTACGTAAACTGTTCTTTCCCTTTTATGAGTAGTTTTAAATGCAATAGAGGAATGGAAGCTGGATAGCTATTCCATATAGCAAAGACTCAGGGTGGTGATAGTTTCTTTGCAAATGATCAAGACAATATTGATGGAGGTGGCAGAAGGGAATTATGTTTGAATTTGCATTCCTTGGAGAGTAAGGGATTACAAAAGAGTAAGGGTCACACAATGGGAATACACATTGAAAGGAATATACTGGCAGATGGAGCTTTAAGCACACTATAAAAATAGCCTGGTGTCTACTTACTCCCTTGTAACCCCTTTGTCTCCCACTGCCACACTGCAAGACAAAAAAAAGAATAGGTCAAAACATAATAGGTCAAGCACAGAACAATGTGACTGACTATCATAGCAATCAAGTGACTTAAGGATGCTCAGAAGGTTGTGAATATGGGATTGGTTGTAAAGACATTTTTTTCAGCACCATCCTAACTTTAAATGGTCACTGAATGAGGCAGTTGCTGAACAAGGACTACCTGTATTTCATGAGTAATTTGAAGAATAGAAATATTAAGGCCTAGAAGAATAGAAATATTAAGGCCTCTGTCTCTCCGTCTTTCTCACACAGACACAAAATACACGTAGAAACAGAGATATACATGAATAATCTATTAGTATTACAACTTATTTTGACATTGCAATTCAAGTTCCTTCTGTTTTCAGGATCAGTTTTATCATAAGAAGAGAGTGATTGTGGAAGCTGAAGGGCGGGGGAACACCAATGGCTAAGTGTTGAAAAGAGTTAAGCCAGCATCTTCCCTTAAGAGCAGTGGAGCTTACTATCCCATGGCTAGCACTAAAGTAACAGTCAGCTACTATCTCATCCTTCATCTCAGGCCTGCTCCCTACCTTGCCTGCTCCTTTATATTTATTTAGTGTTAACCTTCAGAATGCAAAACTCAGAGGCTTAGTTTGTAAAGCCTCGGACATTTGCTTCATGTGGGTTCAAGTAGTGAAAAGTTAGAACAATGAACAATAAAGCAGCTAGCATAATAATAGAAGAATAAATAGGCTGGAGGCAAGATAAATGGTTGAATAAATCCAATCATTTTGTTGCTTGTGCCTAGAAAAAAAGAATTAGATGTAATGCCTTTTCTACAGTAATCTTAGCTTGAAACACACTCGATGTGCATGTGATGCCACTCAGTGGTGGTGAGGTGGGAATGCAGAACTTAATGCCATTAACTTTTCCCAATGTGATACTTTCCAGAAATGTTGGAAATGTTCCTGGTGAGTTCCTCAGAACAGGAATTCTGAGAACTGTAGTTCCTTGAGGGCACACAGATGAGGAAGGCTATTTCTCATGTATATAGCAGCCCTGTACAAAGAGATATTAAAAGCTGTCAAGAGACCTAGGAGGGTCAAAATTCCCCTAACCCAGACCTGCCAAAGTCATTCATCCTATGTAGTGACCAATGCAGTTTCAGGTTCATATCCAAGTCTCTATCATGATTGATAGGCATAGCCATATATTATTAATAGCAAAAGCAACAGAAATAGTGTACATCTTGATGCAAGTTGCTGGGATACAAGAGTTATTTCCATGGGCATTTGGTTTGGCTGGGAACAGAAGGCTTGATACATCTCTTTTACTATAGCACATATGCCACTGGCAATGTTGTATTCATCCTGAAAGAACGCTGTACAGAATTTGAAAATATGAGATTAAAAAAAGTAGCAAGTGGAGAAGTTGACTGCAGGTTTTTTTTATTTCTTTTTTGAAACTACAAAACACTGGGAGTATTTTGTGCAGCTCATTCAATCATTTGCAGCATATTCAGAGCTTCAAATATAAGTTGATTATTAATGAGTCCTTCCCATGGAAGTTGATGAAGAATCAATTTGTTCTTGCATTCTAGCAAATGACTACTTTTTTTTCCTATCCTATAGCATTTTTCTATACAGGATTGCAAAACGGAGAGTTCTAACCGATAGCATTGCTGTTCATATTTCCCTAAGGAGGTTAAGGCATCACAAATATAGTCACCCCTCACATCATCCTCACTATGCCCTAGTGAAATAAGCAGGGCTGAGCAATATAGCCCAAGTCTAGTCCTAATTCAATAAACTCTATGGTTAAATGGGGATTTGATCCCAGGTTTTCCAAGTCTCAATTCAACCCCTTAATTGCTATATTATATTGACTCACTCCATTTGGACTTCTATAATTGAAAGTAACAGAGGACTATGAATTCAGGAGATATATGGAACAGAAGCATCTCTAGCTCTAGCAACAATATATACAGAAAAGAACTTGTTTGCTGAGGTTTGTAGTGGCCTTCATTAATGTAGTATAAACTGCATTAATGCAGTATAAACAGACGCATATATTTAGAAAGGCAATACAACACAATTTCTTCACTAAACCTGTGTACTTGTATCCTTAGCATAAGAGATTTTTCAATATGTGAAGAAATCTCCTGGGGTATTTCTTCTTCACTGCTGTATAAAATCTCAAGGAGAGAAGTATCTTGATGAACATCAATTTTTTTTGTCACTGAATTCTTATATTATTACAGCCACTATTAATTTTTTTTTAGCAGATGTGAAATGAACTTGCAAAGTTAGTAGATGACATTTCAAAGAGGGAGAAGAGAACTGAACAACTTTGGTAAATGATTTTTCTTGGTCCACATTTCTTTTTTCTGTTGTGATCATTAATACAGCACTCATTTACAATTCAGTCTGAATAAGACGCAATGCTTTCTTCATATTCTCAATTACTGGGGGAAAAAAGATAGTAAAGTGATTTGTAGGCATTGCAATTCAAGAAAAGGAGAGAATGATAGATCCAATCCCTTTAATTTTCAGGTATTTCATTTTTAAATATTTATAACATATTTTAAAAATTAAAAAGTGACAGGTTATGGCGAAAGAAACAGAGTATAATAGAAGAAAGATGACAGAAAATAATTATGAAATTTAACCATCACTATGAAAATAAATAGCTGTTGTAACCTTTTTTACGACATTCAATAACATCCCAGAATAGGATGGCCAAGGTAGCCTATCCTTTGGCCTTCAATGCCATTTATGTAAATCAGTTAATAGGCAATTGACAGCTATTACATCTGAAGGCAGAAAATGATCTAAAAAGGTAGCATTGCCACCCCTAATAGATAGATTTGGCTGAAGGAAGAGCTTATTCAAACAAGTAATGCCAGGAGTTTAAAAGTTGGCAGTTAGGCTGCTAAGAATTTCAAGCTCTGGGATCATACAATTCTTAAACTGAAATATTTCTACTGTGCTTGCCTCCTGTGCCCTTTTATTTAGAAAGGCAATCAAAATACATCACTTGCTAAATATTTGGTTTTAATTTCTATATTTGAATTTTTTTTTATTATATTGTTTATTTTATGCCTCGCTAAATGCTTCTATTGCTTTCCCACTTCAACATTTGACACTGAAGTTAGCTACCTAACTCTATTAATGATAAAGCAGGCCCGTAAACCAACATGCTTAAATCCAGTCAGTCAATAACCCAATAAAATTACTGTATTGGTGGTTCTAGCAGCACACAATCTTACTAACTAGTCAAAATTACCATTTATGGAGACTCTGCCTCCCCAGGAAGAAACTATTTCCCTTTAGCAAAGAGATTTATTAAATCGCTATTGTCTTCTTAGGGCAGGCAAGAAAAGGTGCTCTTTTGACTCTTTAGGCCAGTGATGGTGAACCTTTTAGAGACCGAGTACCCAAAAACTGGCCCTGCCCCTGCTCCAAGCCCTGCCCCGTCCCCACTCTGCCTGCCCGCAGGGCCACTCACTGCCTCCAGGGCCCGCCGCAGATCACCCAGGCAGCCCAGCAGTGCCATGGCAGCCACTCCCTCTGCCCGCACCCCGCAGTATCAACTGTGTGCGATGGGGCATGAGGGCAGAGTCTTGTCTAAGCTGCCTGGCTCCCATGTCCTTGGCTGCGCTGTTCCACGTGGGCCACACTCGGGGGCGACTTTCCTCCAAGGGGGTTGCTGGGGAGGGGGGGTGTGGGGAGGCGGGGCTGGGGCAATAGCACATGTGCCCACAGAGAGGGTTCCGAGTGCTGCCTCTGGCACGCGTGCCATAGGTTCGCCACCACTGCTTTAGGCAATTGGGTTCTAGGAAGTAAATTTGGTGCTACTAGGACTTGGTGGTAAGTTGTTCAATGGAGAATCTTGCTCTTTTAACTCTTCTTTTTCCCCAGTTCTGAGAACTAAGTAGGCAAAACAATTATCTTGGTTTCTATAATCATGGAGCATGGCTGATTGGATATGGTCAATTTAATTCTATAGAAAATTGGACCTTACTCACTTTGGGATAATTGTCTAGATCTAGATTTGATTTTTCTCAGTTCACTAACTTTCTAATTGAGCCATTTAAGCATATATTTGGATCAGGACTATTTTTTGTAATTTCATGCAGGGCTGCATACAGACACAAATTTTAAAATCCTACATATCTTAGAACATATTTTTAAAAATTAAAAATTAAATGTGCCTCAAACCCAAATGTGTCCCAAACCATGATATTAAAACAAGGGAGCCTCTTATTGCAAAACATATGGATGCTTTGTCAATTTCTGTCTACTTCACTTTTTATTGCTCCTTGCTGATGTAAGAATCTGTATGAGTGACTAATTGAAACCTTGCCTTCTAACCAGTTTTAGTTATCTTTTCCTGCCTTGTTTTTATGACCCTAGGACACCAACTGTACTTTCTTTGCACAGTAGAGCAAAACAAAACAAAACCATCCCCCAAATTTATGAGCCCAACCCAATCAAGTACAAATACTTGCACTCAACAGAGCCAGTTTATTCTGCCTCCACTTTTATCTGACAAGCTGCGCAAAGGTCACTACAGAGAATGGGAGATCTGTCCAAGTCTCTCCTTGATTTTGACAGCAAGAAAATTGCATTCTTGAACACTACTACTTTGCATGGTGCTAGAACCTTTTGATGGTATCATGTACCATCTTTGTGTCCTTTTATGCATTTTTCAGGGAGCCTGATAGGACTTGGCTAAACCATGAAAAAACATTTAGGATTGATGGGCTTGAGCAGGGGTGTCAAACTCGCAACATCACGTGATGTGTTGTGACGTATTGCGACTTTTTTGCCATTGCCAGAAATTGGGTGGGCGCGGTTTTGCTATGATGCATCTGGCCCACAGGCCGGCAGTTTGACACCCTGGGCTTGAGGCTATTGCCATCTTGCTATTGGTTAAGTTTGTTTGTTTTTCAAATTTATATTTATGATTCTGGGCAGCTTGCAAACAATTAAAGTAAATAACAAAGCAAGAAAAAAAGCAATATAACAATTTAAAAACAAGAAAAAATATAACACATAAAACATCATTAATAAATAATAACATTCAAAGCTGAAGTAATCATATCTAACAATAACACTCAATATAAGCACTGCACTGGCTCTGCCACATTCCCCAGTCTCTGTTTTTGGAGGCTGATGGAAATGAACTCCAAAATATCTAGTTTATATGCCTTTTTCATTATTTTGATGTAATACTGAATTAAACTTTTTATATGCATCTTAGCAAGCCTAGCAGTGCTACTTAATTTATCCTCCATGCAATTAGTGTACTTTTGGGAAAACAGTCCTGTAAACATTACTATTCTGAATGCAACCCACTAAGGAAAAACTTACACACAGATAAGTCTTGAGGTTCATAAGTATACAATCGATTTGAGTATCTTCCAGTGATATCAGCCCTTACTGTGAGAGAAGGATCTGGAAAAGCAATAAAAAATTATTGCAATAGTCAAGTCATACTAATACATAAGCACCAATTAGATTTCAAGGAGATGCTTTTCACTAATTTAATGATATTCATGCATTTCAAATGAAAAATGTAAAAGAATCAGCTATACATTCAAAATGCATTATCAAGTAACAATGATAACTTCCTCATTACTATGGAAAATTATACAAGACTGAAATAAGGCAGGTTGGAAATGTTCATTCTCTGAGGAAAACTAAGACTTTGATTAATGAAGAATTTAATCTTATTCTGGAATGCTACTCAAAAATAAAATTCCAGAAGTGCAAACCAACAGAGTAAGGGCCATATTGGCTTAATATTCTAAAAGATGAAGTCCTAGCACATCTGAATGGCATCAAGTCAGGAAAAGCTGAACTGGGACATCCATTCATTATCCCATGATTCTACATGCACACTTCCATAGAATGGATTGATTTCTTTCAACTCTGTATCATCCTTATAAAAATATTAGTAGACTGAAATTCCATTTTGTATTTCAGCTGCTGTACAGAAGCAAGTAGCATTTCTCAAAAACAAACACTTGTCTGGCCCCAGTAATCAACAAAAGCTGTATTTTACAGAGGCAAAGCACCAGGTCAGGGCCATAGTTATGATTATGTCTAATACATACCTACAAACATGATTCGAGGCACATACTGTCCATCAGGTGATAAGTTCTTATCAGTCGTTTCATGCTGCCAAAGGAAAATCTTTAAATTGGCATAGTTATTAAATTGTCTTAAAACCTCACTAAAGAGGAAAGACCACCCATTTCTTTACCTAATTACTTTCAAATACTACTTAATTTATATCTATATCTAAATTTCTGTACCATGAGGTTGAGCATGATGAAATCATTCTGACACATCTCCTGTATTTCTTGATTTCCTGCAAAGACCTTCTTTAATGCTGCAGAAAATGAAATGCAATTGTTATTTTAAAGAGAGATAAGATGCAAGTTTTTTAGAGTGGATGTCTGACATTTTCTATACTGACATGTTACATCAATTCTTTGCAGTCAATTGAACTGGAAGTTGTTGAAGTGAGAGATGGTTGTTGTAAGGACTTTGAGACAGAAACTCCTAAGTATCTTCTTTGCCAGCAGTGATAATATTGCTTAGCATCAATGACAAGATGAGGGAGACTACCTACAATTTAAATTTAAAGCCGCCCTGAGTCCGCGAGGAGAAGGGCGGGATATAAATCCAAATATAATAATAATAAAAAATAATAAATTAAATCTGTCGCCTTGAAGGGTTTCTTTTTAAATTGATATTGAGGGCATTATTCTCAGTGAATTCTTCAGAGATAAATGTTATTCAGCTGTACACCTATATAGTTGGTTACATGAGAAAAACAGAACCATGTCGAATATGTTTTGTCAGTACTTAAGATAACTTCATGTTTGTTAATGTAATCTACCTTGCACATATTTAGCTTTGGTTGAACAAGGGAAATATGTATTAGAAGAGGCATCTTATATATTTTGCTTTACTAATTGCTTGAGCTAATGTATCTTTATTTACATTTAGCAGAATTATGTGTAATCGAGATTTCTTCATAAATGTAAAGGGATTCTGCTTAAAAGAATTTAATTTTGAAAATGAGATCTATTTATATCAGCATACATCTGGAAGACATATTTTGTAAATTAAAATCATTTTTACGCCAGTTGCGCCCCTTTCTGGATTGGGACGCCCTACGCACAGTCACTCAAGCCCTCATTGTTTCCCGCCTGGACTATTGCAATGCTCTCTACATGGGGCTCCCCTTGAGGTGCACCCAGAGGCTCCAGCTAGTTCAGAATGCGGCTGCGCGGGGGATTTTGGGGGCCTCTAGATGCTCCCATGTAACACCTCTCCTGCGCGAGCTGCACTGGCTGCCGGTGGCCTTCCGGGTGCGCTTCAAGGTGTTAGTAACAACNAATGCCGGCTGGTGACCCCCAGGGGGAGAGCCTTCTCTGTGGCAGCTCCTGCCCTCTGGAATGACCTACCCCCCGACCTACGTACAGTTGCGGACCTGCGCCTTTTTCGCCGAGCCCTGAAGGCCCATCTATTCCGTGCGGCCGGCCTGGTGTAGTTTGATTATGTTTTAGTGGGGGTTTTGTATGGGGTGTTTTTAGAACAGGCCTGTTATTTAATTTGATTTTAGCACAGAAACTATTCATTTATTATTGTGGTTTTTAGTATCGCCTGTTCACCGCCCTGAGTCCCGTAAGGGAGATAGAGCGGTATATAAATTTAATAAATAAATAAATAAATAAATTTTTAATTCATTGATTAGTAAAATGGTGCTGATAGTCATTAGCAGAGCTTTTTTTCTCATAGAATGCCCACAACGGAGTTCCGGCACCTTTTTTGGATAGAACCTTGTAGGGTAGGCAAGGCGGGTTGTATGACATGTGTGAGTTCCGGCACCTTTTTTTTTTTTTTTTAGAAAAAAAGCACTGGTCATTAATAATATGCCTGAGATGTCCCGTGGTGCCTACCAGGTTCATAGCCCCAACTGAGATTTTAAACATATTATTTTAATAATAAATAAATATATAGTTGGCATACGGCAAAATAAAGCACCAGCCTACAGCACCATCCTCACTCACACTCTCCCCTTTAGCAGTAATATCTGAAATATTCTAAAATATTCAATTCTCAAAAATAAGATTCTAATTAGAAATTTGCAGTTTCTCCCAACTATTTTTCCTTTATCATATAGAGCAATATGATTTATAGACTGAGATCTCAGAGTCTTAAATATACTACAATAAAAGAATACAGTTGAGTGATATGTGTTTGTAAATGCATTCCCCAGATTTTCACTTTAAATCAAATTGGTTTGACTTACCTTGACAATATTGACAATCCTCCAAATGGTGAATAACCATCAATGGCTTATTACTTTTTTCAAAAAGAAAATAAGTATTAGGAAACATGGTTTTTCTATCATATGAGATAAATACATTGAATAATACAGCATCTATAAGTAATAAACTAAAACCCACTGACAAGCTACAAATATTCTGTTCATAAGAGCAGGAACAAAAATAAAATATTCTATTTCCCCCTGAAAGATTTAAAATTATTTTTACCTTTGTTTTGCCTGATAGAGGCCTTCTTCGTATGTTTGTACCCAAGTGATATCATCTCCCCATCCTAGGAGAATAATAGGTTCATGGTTTAGATGGAGTTGCTATCTATTTAACTGTCCTCAATATATTTTATATGATGATGATGATGATGATGATGATGATGATGATGATAGTTGGAAGGGACCTTGGAGGTCATCTAGTCCAACCCCCTGCTCATGCAGGAAACACTATTCCACACAGGAAATATAACAGGAAACCCTATACCATAACTTCTTGAAATGTGTTAAACATAATTTCTTTACTTATCACAGATTTTGTATATTAAAACAAATATAAATTACTGTACCTTAGATTCATAGCTCATTTTTGTAAGGCCGTATGCACTAAAATGCACCAATGTGTGCAAAAAGAGGTAAAATTCTATTGGTACTTTAATTTATTTATTTTTAAAATGTAGAGTTTGACGGTAGGAAGTATTATCCCATTGTATTCTAGCCCAATATTAGTTACAAAACAATTTTCAGAAAATTGAGTCACAATTTATTTTATAATTAGCCTGTTTAGAAATTTAGAAACAGAATGAAATCATCATACCTCTAGAGAGGGTCTGGGGTACTCGCTTTTCCTTATTGATTGCTATTGCAAAATTGGATGAAATGGCAAGTAATATGAAGGATAAGCTCACTGCTGAATACATATTTTCTTCCCTCTTCAAATATTATTAGTATAAATTTAACTCCAACTGCTTTAGGAAGTCCTGTACAAATAAAAGAGTAGTCTAAACCATAAATGTGATATTGAAATCCAAATTTTAATTAGCAATAATACACTTTTAACACATTTGTTTATAAAGAATTATAGCTGAATTGTTAGGTAAAAAAATACTCAGCTTCACAAACTATTGTAGGCATAATTTTCAGCCTTTAAAGAAGTAACTGTTCACTATTTCTCTTAATAATACTCCTTAAAATGTATGTTTGTATATTACATACAGAGTTTTTAAGGAACATCATATTATTTTTATATAGTGGATATTTTTGTATAGTGAACAAATTACTGCAATCAATTTAGTCTTTTGAAACTTACTTTGATTAGAGTTCATATATAATAATAGACATGCCTAACAAATATTGTATAGCAAACTGCTATGAACTATTTCTTCCCATCTCTTTATTTGATGAGTTGGGTAATGTGAAATAAAATAACAAGACTGAATTTTGCTCACCAGAGTTGGTCTGTTGTGTTAGTAAAAGTCCTTCCCAAGCAAACAGATGTTTTAAAGTGAATGTGATTTATAGTCTTGTGTTCAGCTGACCTGCCCAGCTTCTTAATCTGGATTTACACAATGTGCTCACTTGCAAATGAAATAGTAATGACCAATCCTGCCCCTCCTTCCTTTTCTTCAGTATCCCAATCTTGCAAGTTCACATTTTGGCCTATTGAATAGTTGGATTTCTTGTTCCATTTTTGCTTGTATCAAGTATCATTACATTGGAACTGGGAAAAGGTAGAGCTTTGTATGCCTGTGACTTTTCCTCACAAATGGCTATGGTCTGGCTCAAGTTCAGTGAAATAAGAAACCAGCAATGAAAGTTGGAACTGTAGATGCTATTGTTTCTACTGAATGACTGAGTTCAATAGTACTCTGAGATCAGGGATGAAACTAATAGGAAGATACAAGAGTCACTTTGTGCAAAAGAATGTAATTAAGAAATCAGGTGGGGAGTTATAAAATGTAGTTCTCAGGAAGAGTAGGTTATAAGCTTTTAAAAACCAGATAATTAAAATAAAGAAGGGTGATGAAAATATAAGTTGCTTGAATATTTATTTTTTAAAAAAATTCCCCTATGTTGTTGTTCATTTTCACAATACAGTTAACTTTGATTAAACATATACCTTACATCTGTTGTTTGAGAAGCCATTGGAAACTTTATCTTAGGCTGAGATCCAAAGGCATTGAGAACTCAATACTGTAAGTACTGAGAATTCTTGGAATTGTAGTCCCATAATATCTGATAGACTGTAGTTGCAGTAGTATTTTCTGACCTGTTTTCTCCACAATTTTTTGTGATTTTCAAAATATACCCATGAAAATGACACTTTAAGGAATGACTGCAGGATTGAGTGAGTTGCATTGAATGCAGTTTGCTTCTAAAGCCCTTCATTGCATGGGACTAGATTATTATTTTAGGCACTGTCTCACTCCAGTGGGATTGGCTGCCTCACTTGCATAGCAGATGAGGCTTTCTTTGGGCTCCCTTGGCCAAAGAATTTCAGCTGTTTAGTAAAGGAGAAGTGCCTTCTCTGCCATGACCCTACACCTTGGAACACTTTGCCTCCTGACTGAGATCTCCTTCCACCCTTCTGGTCTTTCAGAAAAGCCTTAAAATCTTATTCTGCTGGCTGGCTTGGGGCTCTTATGTGTGGGCATGCTATGATGGAAATGGTTGATTGTGAGAGACAAAAGTCCTCTGTACTGTCAGTCTTCTTGGTTTTAATCTTTTATTTAATTGTTATTAATCCTAATCTTAATCTTCATTTTAAAGCTGTGGTGGCACAATGGTTAGAATGCCATATTGCAGGTTAACTCACTGCTCTCTCCAGGAATTTGATTCTGAACAGTTCAAGGTTGACTCAGCCTTCCATCCTTCTGAAGTCAGTAAAATGAGAACCCAGCTTGTTGGGGGCAATATGTTGACTCTGTAAATTGCTTAGAGAGGACTGTAAAGCACTGTGAAGTTATATAAATGTCTAAGTGCTATTTTTATTGCTTTTTCAAATTTTAATCAAAGTTTATTTATTTTAACAATTAATTATCATCTGATCATCATCTGATCATCATCTGTATGCAGTTGAACTTCAGTTCTGTCTTCTTTTGCTCCATGCTATGTTTTTTTATCCATTTTCTATCTTTCTGATAATTGTAAATGGGAAAACCATTGACAACAATATCCTTCTGCCATTAATTACTCTCTTGATTTAATTTGATATTATCCTTAATGATTCTCTAATAATTCTGGTCGACAATATTCTTTTTGGAAAAGAAGAAATCAAGAGATCATCTGCTTGTGCTCCAGACAGCTGGTTCTGGTGAGGCAACCATATAAATTGAATTTTTTTCAGTCAATAATGAATTAGCTTGGGAGCCAAGCGATTACCATTGTGCTCAAAACTGTTGTGCGGCCTTGATGGACACTTGGCCTACAAAAGCCTCACTTCCTTAAACAGACATAATTAACATACAACTTAAGAGAGACCTTTTCACCATCAGGAAAGAATAAAGACACTTGGTGAATCACCTTTTTGTTAAAATTAAGGAGAGAAAAATACTATTTTAAAAGATTTTGACTTAAAAGCAAATAGCTTAAATTTAAGAGTTTTAAATGGCTAAAGGATATAGCGATTTTAGAAAACAGAAGGATAATTTTCTTTTCTATCATGACAACATTATAATTAACTGGTAGAACAGTTTGGACCTTCATGGAAATGTTGATAGTTTATTATTAAGAAAAATAGATAATTGGTGAATTTTGTGAAATAAAAAAGATAAAGATAATGTGAGCCAGTGTGTATTTACTAATTGAGCTAATTGAGAGTAAAGTATTTAAAACACAAAAAGGCAAAACAGAAAAAAAGAAAAAAATACAATAAGTGAAGCTTGCCTTCAACTACTATATAGTTGACATATACGTAGTCTTTGACTTACCAATCATTTAGTAACTGTTCAAAATTGCACTGGCACTATGACTAGTTTTCACACTTACAAGGTTGAAACATCATGGTCACATGATCAAAATTCAAGTGTTTGGCAACTGGCATGTATTTATAATAGTTGCACTGTCCTAGGTCATATAATCACCATTTGTAACTTTCCAAGCTGGCTGCCCACAAACAAAATCAATAAGTAAAATCAGATTTGTTTAATGACTGCATGATTCACTTAACAACTGCAGTGATTTGGTTAGCAATTGTGGTAAAAAAAGGTTGTAAAATGGGGCAATACCCATTTAACAACTTCCTTGGTTTGGCAAACAAAATTTGGGCTCAGTTGTGATCATAAGTTGAGAATTACCCATAGTTTCACTTTGGAGCCATACAGATTACAGTGGCAACCAACCCCTCCCCCCCGCAAAAATAGGTTGAGGAAAAAGAAATTCGTAATAACAGTTTATACACAAGGACATTGCAACAGATTTATTGCATAAATGTTTAAAGAATTTGACAATGATATAAATGAAACAATTGCTAATAATATGGCTGTTTTTACAAATGAAAGAAGGACTTGTAGGAATAATAAGGGATATGAAAGATGAAGTTAAGATTGTAGAATCTGTAGGACAATTGGTTGGAGATGTACAACCTAATCTATGACAAATTGAAAGTTTTAGAAAGTAAGAGAGACGTTATAAACAGAAAAACAGAAAGATTTGGACAACCTAGAACAGTGGTGGTGAACCTATGGCACGGGTGCCAGAGGCGGCACTCAGAACCCTTTCTTTGGTCACATACTATTGCCCCAGCCTTGCCTCCGCCCACGACCCCTTCCTCACCAGCAGCCTCCCTGTAGGAGAGTCGCCCCTGAGCGTGGCCCACAGGAGCAGCGCAGCCAAGGACATGGCAGCCAGGCAGCATAGACAAGACTCTGCCCTTACGCCCCGTCACGCACAGTTGATGCTGCAGGGCATGGGCAGAGGGCGTGGCCGCCATGGCGCTGCTGGGCTGCCTGGGCGATCTGCGGTGGGCCCTGGAGGCAGTGACTGGCCCTGTGGGCAGGTAGAGTGGGGTGGAGCAGGGGTGGGGCAGGGGTGGGGTAGGGGGTGGAGCAGGGGCGGGGCCAATTTTTGAGAACTTGGTCTCTAAAAGGTTTGCCATCACTGACTTAGAATTATTGGAATTGAGAAAAAAACATTTTCTTTAAGTTTTAGAGAAATTTCAGAAGACCATGGGAAAGATACAGGAGAAAAGACTGCTAAGTCCCTGCTTTACATTTTGGATTGGATAAAGATGGCACAGAGATTGACAAAGTTTATAGGATCAATATATGATATGCAAAATTAAGAGATGCCTTATGCATTTTGTCAAAAAGAACATAGGACATGGAATAGTAGTGTTGATCCCCTGATCAAGCAGGAGACCCTATACTATTTCAGAGAAATGGTTGTCCAGTCTCTTTTTGAAAGCCTCCAGGGATGGAGCATTCACAACCTTTTTTTTTGCTGGCAAGCCATTGCTGGCAAGCCATTCACTGTTAGGGAGTTTCCCCTTAGTTCTAGGCTGCTTCTTTCCTTGGTTAGTTTCCATCCATTATTTCTTGTCTTGCCTTTTGCTGCTTTGGAAAATAGTTTGACCCCCTCATCTTTGTAGGAGTCTCTCAAATTTTTATTGGTATCATGTATCATTTTCATTGGACTAGACATGCCCAATTCCTGTAACTAGTCTTCATATGTTTTAGCTTCCAGCCCAAAATTTTAAAAGACTAAAGTTCTGTTGCAGCATTTTAATATTAGATTGAAAATTGATAATACAGATATAATTGTACTTAAAGAAATTCCCATTATAATACTGAATATTAAAATTAAACAAAGCAAACTACCAAAGTTTTTCTTTGACTTATTGGACAATTTCAAGATTGCTGATGTATAGAAATACAAACATAGTGATTTAAACAAATATATCTATTTTTTTTTAAAAAAAAGAAATCAATCTTTTTCA